AACTCATGCTCAAGTGAGGAGTACATATAGTTAAGTATATACCAATTTCTTTTTGTTTTAAACACATTTTCGTAAGGATATATTATTGACCTTCAAATTCTTTTAATATTTTATTAATTAATTATCAAAAAGGTACATTATGAAACAGAAAACAGGAACCTGCTTCACATGAAGGAATAACAATTTAGTAGTGTTAGAAACTCTTTAATAGTCAATAATTTTACACTATAATTTAAAATCTTGCACTTGCTGATAAGGTGATATCCTTTTATGCTGGTTGAAATGTTGGTCGCATCAAAATATCATGAATCTGTGAAGAGAAAAAACAAAATTTTAACAATAAATTACTTTATAGTTCATGTCTACACAAAATACGGTGTTAAAAGTACTAAATACAATAAATCTTTACCTCTCTATTTCTACTTGTGATTTGATTACACGATTTTTACAAAAAAAACTCTTTGTGTGAATAGAGTCACAACAATGCACGTACTTCTCCAAACAAATATGTATTTTAATTGACATATAAAGTGATGAATTAAATACATGTATATTCAATATCTAGATGTCAAAATACTAATGAACACAAACAAGCTAACACAAAGATAATATCTTACATAATACAGAGATGGAAAGAGAATGATAAATATATAGACATAAAATAAGTGTGTGAATATGCATAAATGAGTGTATGTATGTCCACAGGTGTATTTCTTTATTCTTGTCCATATACTACTTATGCTTGTGCACGTGCAAATGTGTATGTATGGTTAGGTAAGAATATGCATATGTGTCTGTATGTTCATGTGCGTGTGTGCGTTATCATAGACAAGCATGTGTGGGTGTGCATGTGTATAAGAGAGCATGCATCTACCTATGTATGTACATGTACAGGTGCAGATGCATGTACATGTATATGTACCAGTACCTGTATATGTACATGTGCAAGTACAAGTGCAAGTACAAGTGCATGTACAAGTGCAAGTACAAGTGCAAGTACAAGTGCAAGTACAAGTGCAAGTACAAGTGCAAGTACAAGTGCAAGTACAAGTGCAAGTACAAGTGCAAGTACAAGTGCAAGTACAAGTGCAAGTACAAGTGCAAGTACAAGTGCAAGTACAAGTGCAAGTACAAGTGCAAGTACAAGTGCAAGTACAAGTGCAAGTACAAGTGCAAGTACAAGTGCAAGTACAAGTGCAAGTACAAGTGCAAGTACAAGTGCAAGTACAAGTGCAAGTACAAGTGCAAGTACAAGTGCAAGTACAAGTGCAAGTACAAGTGCAAGTACAAGTGCAAGTACAAGTGCAAGTACAAGTGCAAGTACAAGTGCAAGTACAAGTGCAAGTACAAGTGCAAGTACAAGTGCAAGTACAAGTGCAAGTACAAGTGCAAGTACAAGTGCAAGTACAAGTGCAAGTACAAGTGCAAGTACACTGTATATGTACATGTGCAAGTACAAGTGCAAGTACAAGTGCATGTGAATGTGCATGTGAGTGTGTATGTGTATGCATTATGTGCATGTACATATCCACATACTTGCACATGTGCATGTTTTGCTTATACATAAGTAGCATTTATTCAGTCTGAAAGACTTTATATTACCTGTACATGTGGTGGAGCTGACAGGGCATGCAATACAGAAGAAGCAACATCTTCTGCTTGCAAACACTTGAAGGCACTATATGCATTATGTCCATCTTTTCTCATTCGTGGAGAAAATTCAGTCTCAGTTAGGCCAGGACTAATAGCCTTTTTGCATATGGAAAGGATAATATATATTAATTATATGCAGTGTATTTGGAAAATCAACTCAATGGTCAGGGATGGCATGATATGCATGCATTATCCCCTGCATTTCAGTTTATCAATTGTTTTACATTTACATATATACAAGCACTTAGCCACAGGAGGCAATTATTAGTCCTACTTATCCTGTTCATCCTATTCCTAGATATTTTAAAATATTTTCTTCTATCTTATACTATTAGTAGTAATTCAAAAACATTATAATCATTGTAATATCAATAATAAAAACAGTATCAATATTAATACCATTAGGAGAAATAACTCAAGGATAGAGAAATCAAGTGAGGACACTCACACCTGACTAACTAATTGATTCCTTGGTGGCTAAGTACTTGTGTAGCCATCAGTATGAAACAAAATTGAGAAAAAGCTACAGTAGACAGTACATTAAACCATAAGAAATGGGTTAATATATGCCAATAAAACATCATCCCATTTCCACAATAAAATCAGAAAAATGTTATATAATTTTTGTTTGAAATTCAAAAGTAACCCTATATAATCATTCTATTTAACCCATTAGGACCGAGTATTTGTACTATCCGCTGCAATTTCATTTTGATGTGCCCACTGAGAGTTTACTTGTTTAATTGTTTTCACACATAGATGGCTACACTTGTACTTGTACTGCCTATCTTGCCTGTTTACCCTTTTCTTTAATTTACGAAAATATTTTACATTATCTTATTTTGCTGTTACTAATGTTTATAACATTAGAGTAATTATGACGTTTATAATAAAAATAACCATTGATATTCATAGCACTAGTAAAAATACATTTTCCCACCAATTCAAGTAAAGGTGAAATCAGGTAAGGCAGAGCATCTAGTGTAGAGACATTTCACAAAAAATATAAAAAATGAGCACAGTATCTTCCCCATTTTTTGTCCATTTTTACCCAGGGCGAATGGGTTAATCGGCGCTACATGACCTTATTCTTTAAATTTTCAAGAATATCTTAAATTCTAATGCTGTTAATATCTATACTGTTAATATTATTATTGACATCAGGGTTATTATGTTATAAAACTACCAAGAGCATTTAAAGTAGAAAAAAAAAAATCTCCCCAGAAATCAAGGAAAAGGGCAAACTGATAAGATAGATAGAACTAGTATTAGTAATTAAGCTCTTGTGGAGCCATCTATGTGTAAACAAAATCAAGAAACTAGATTCACAGTGGATATGGTAAGTATAAACATTCTTGTGGAAATGGGCTAATATGATTTACAAGTTTCAGTCTCATGAGTGATGTTACTAATATTATTATTACTTTAATATCTATATCCCTTTCTGAAACTCTCTTACAAACTCCCTAGTTTTGGGACTCATTTTTTTGATGGTTTAGTGGTATAATTCTGAATTCCAAAACAAATGCACTTGAAAAATCTTACCGAAACACGTATGTGTGACTTTTCAGCTCGAAGCTCCTGCCGCAAGCCTTCTAAAAGTGCTGTAACTGCATATTTTGTGGCAGTATAGAAGTGTATGGGTGCACTTCCAGTGACCACATGTCCTAGGATGCTGTAAAATGCATAAATGCTCAACTTAAAGGAATCTTCTATGTCCATTTATACCATCACCTTTTAACTTGTTTCAGGTCTTGAACCGCAAGCCACTATTTCCTAATTCATATAAATATAATTTTTTGAGATACTGTATAAAGAGTAGATATCTAATATATGCTGTCAACCAATAGAATTCTAAGTATACAGTTAACATCTTTTAATCAATTTCTTATGACTGGAAATATGGATTCTTACTTAGATGCTTTCCAATCTTTGGAGAGGTACTTGATATTGTAAATTCAGTGAAGTTTAGCAGTTAACAAGAAGCAGGCTTCTACTAAAATCTTTAGTAATTATAAGATTCCACAATAGTTCAAAAGTTTTAGGCATTCATTTATGCCATTGTAAGTTAAGTGCCTGCCAGATTCACACTCAGTTCTGTTTACTACTACACAATATTTTTCATCTCTAAATGTCTTCTTAGATATCATCTTTGACAGCAGATATAAAGTTACTTTTCTCATTAAAAAAAATAATAATCATATTCAATATCATGTAGAATTTAGTCAAGTAAAAAAAATAATAATCTAGCTACCTGCTAATATGAATGATATGGCCATCATCCACCTTTCGTTCCTTCATAGATGCCACAGCTTCTTTAGTGCAAAGACAAAGAGCCACTACATTCAAATCCAACATTTCCCTCCATTCTTCAGGTGTACCATCTAAGGAGCAATGGATATTTATTTATCACAATATGCTACATAATTTACAATACTGTTAGATAAAAGTAAATCATTCAGCTATATCTGCAAAGAATAGCTATAAAATTGCATTACAATTTTTTTTTCCTCATAATTACGTTATCATGAGGACATATTCAAATATTAATAAATCTATACCTACCAAGAAGACTGTGGTTGTGAGACATCCCAGCATTATTGATACAGACATCAACGCCACCAAACTGCTGCTTAATGCCAGAGAAGAGATTCAGGACTTCTGAATCTTTGGTCAAGTCACATTTCATGGCTGTCAGGCTTCCTGGCATTCCTGACAGTTCATTTGAAAGAGCCTTGTAAAACAGACAAGAGGACTTTTGTTAATGATACAGATATACAAATGAAAATATTTCTAATGCAATGCTCTGAGAACAAGATATTCATTGTCTTGTATTCAGATAAATTTACATAAACTATGTAGGAAGCTGAATATAGTAGATTTTTCCAATCAATATTCATCTATGAGACCATGAGTACTACACCAAACTTTACTATACCTTCTGCATGAAAAAATAAATCATTTGCTAACTGGCTCTTGAAGCTTCATCAACTACATATAACCAAGACTGATCCAAATGTAAAGGCAAGCACATGTATATATTCCATATACATAAATACACACCTGGATCCTGTCGGCATTACGTGCTGCTCCGACCACTTTCATGCCCGCACCAACCAGCTGTCGGCAGATGGCAGCACCAATGCCTGAACTTGCTCCTGTGACCAAAGCAACGCGTCCAACCCAACGCTCCATCGTGTGTTAATCAGCAGCTGAAAATTTGATGTTGATTTATAACCCAACTCTTCAATTTCTCATTAAATTTTGATTATGAGTGAAGGAATATAAATTTTATAATAAAAAGAACTTCATGAATACGTCATTACAGGTCATTATCATTTTGCATCAGGTGTGGTGGTGGTGTGACAGTGGTGGTAGTGTAACAGTGATGGTGGTGTGATTAAAGGTGGTGGTGATTAATGGTGGTGGTGTGAAAATGGTGTTATGGGTTGAGGGTGGGGGTGGAGGGGTGATGATGATAGTAATGGTGATGATGGGGACAGGGATTATGGGGATGGAGATGGGAAAAGGGATTGTGGGGATGGGAATGGGGATGGGGATAGTGGTAGAGATGGTCTTCATGGTGGTGGTTGTATGGTTGTGGTGGTAATTGTAATGATGCTGATGGTAGCGATGATGATGCTGATGGTAATTACTGAAAGCTACAAATAATAATGGGAAGTTCCTCTCTAATACACTCTTATGAGGTATGTGTGGGGAAAGTGGGCTTCTAAGAAATAATCTTCAAGAACTTAATAACTATATGGCGTAAACGAAAAGAAAAGCTATAACACCCCAATCCTAGCAAAACTACTATGGTCTATTCTGGCTCTTATGTAATAAGGTCTCCTGGTTCAAAACACTGTGTTAATGAAATATACGTAAAGAACATCTGAGAAATGATCCAACTCAACAGAATCTTCTCAGTCAATGACATACACAAACAAAAGTATTATAAATAACATACAACAGGAGAACTTACCAAGCCTTCGAAACCCCCTCCGGCTGTCAGAATGTTACCGGTAGTATATAACACTAGTTAGCAACTTACTTTAACTTTTGCATCGTTACCGGAATTTTAGGCTTATAGCTTTAGAGGTTTTCGCCTTTCTTCTTATATTAAAAATGAAGGTACCGAGAAAATGAGAGAGGGAGACCATTTTTCATTTTTACTTTAAGTTTATGGAGACAGAGAGGGAGGGAGGAAGGGACGAGTTTTTATTACATATGTATATACGAAAATGCCAAGCCATACCTTATAGCTATACTGGTAAAACACGATGATTTTGCTTACAGTATATCAGTAACGATGACTAAGTACCTCGAAAAATCTTCAACATGACATGACTGAATTAAAACAAATCAGTAATCTAATCACTTTAGGATCAATTTTCGGGATCACGCCGGTACTTGAAATATACTGATAAAAATCCAATAGATTTCGTCGTTTTTCCTCAATCTTCGGTCTCCAATTCTGATGCAAATAACTGGTTTCGGAAAGATCGTGAACGTGAGAAAACGACTTTTCGTAAAAGGATAACCGACAGAACGGCCCTCATTCCACTTATTTTCGCCACATTCTAACATTTTCCTTTAATTTTCCAGCAATATAGCCCGCGGGGAGTGTGTTAAAAGGGGGTAGGGACCGCACGCCCACCTCTCTCAGCGTTGCACGGGAGAGTCATCGTTACACACAAGGTCCTGCTCTCCTGATATAATAGCTGCTGCAGACGGGTTTCTATCGAGATACTTATAAAAGAAGGTGAATATCGGTGCTGTTTCTCCTTAATAATTTTGTTTTCCGTGTTTCAGTTCTTGAGGTTTGTGGGTGTGTGATTTCGTTTTGCTTCTATTTCGTGAGTGCTGTAGGTTGCTAGTCATATTTCTGGATTTAAATCGTTCTCTCACTATTTGTCTGGTATTTTGTGTAGGGCTGACATGTCCCTAAAATGTCCCTATATCCTCTTATGGGTAGTTGTGATCTTGTCATTTCTTAAATCTGAAAGTCCAGATATTTCCAAAGTAGTTTGTTTAGGGTCTAGATCATGTTACAGTTAGAGGATTCCTATTGGGGTCTGCCAAGCATTCACTTGATGCCTAACAACAAACATAGTAAACTAACTGATAGGTGAACAAGGGTATCATTTGGAGGAGGGGAGTTAGGGCAATTAACCCCCCCCCCGACTAACTACTCCCCCCAAGCTCTGGCTTGCCCCCCTCCCCCCCAAGGGCCACATGCCCACAATAATTTTGCCTATATTAGGCTCACACCTTTATAGTTCTGGTCCTAGCTTTAAAATGCCCATAGAGTAGGTCATTTTTCAAAATTTTTCTTGGGTAGGGGGACAAAAGTTGTGCCCCTGGTAGTTAGCCTAATAACAGACCAAACTGTATTTTGAGGTGGGGTAATTGGTAAGGGTCCAGTTCCATCCATTCAACCTTGTAACCTTTATTTTTTGTTCCAGTTATTCACTGTGTAATATTAATGAATCTGTCGTTGTTTTCCAGGTAATTTTTCACAGTAACCTCATAGAACCCAAATTCTTGGCTATGACAACAGGGAAGGCCATGAAAGGTACCAGGGAAATTGTGGGGTAAATTAACAATAATGTAATAGCATAAAAAAGATAATGCCTTACTATCCTATGACCCCCATGCAGTTGCTGCCACCCAACCCCTGCCCAGGAAGACAAAGACTCCTCCACATATTCACAGTAGGATAGAGCATACAACCTACGTGCGGGCGAAGACAGCAATTATAACCATATTTCACCCTGCAATTTCCCTGGTACATTACATGTCCACTCCTGCTATAGGGGACAAAACTGTTGCTAATGGTGCTCTCATGGTGGGGTTTCTGCACCCCTCTGAGACTTAGTCCCTATTATCCCAGCAACAGCCTTGGGGGCTCTCATAGATATCCTCAAACAACACCCTAGACCCACAATCCTTCCAAACCCCATGGGTATTGCCCCCAGACTCCCACCCAATCTTTGTTTTTTCCTATTGGGGGCTCTACCTCCAGAACCCCACTTGATCACCATAGAGTTCTTCCTTTTTTATGTTGCCTGTACATATTAATTAATGTATCAGTGAGTGTAGTTTTTTCCACTTTATGACAGTACAGTATATCAAAGCATGACATAAGTGTAGCACAACTCTTATTATCAACTTGTGAAGAAAATTTCTTAGATAAAAAGGGTCTTCAATTTTGTCTCTCTGTCCATTACAGGTAAAGATTCCCTTGTATCATATGGCTGTGTGAAACAAATAATCAAGGTTTTTTTTTCAACAGAGCAGGAGTACTTCTCATTTGAAATATAAAATAAATAGAATAAGGAAGTATAACTATAAAAGTATAAGTATATAGATATGAATTTAATTTATATTGATATCTCTTCTCAAAGTAAATGTTGATATTTAGTGTTGTCAACTAACCTTTCTTTCAAACCAGCATGGCTGAGATATATTACACTTAAAGAATCCATACACCTCAAAAAATAATTAAACCATTTTTGTGCGCTTGGTCTGGGATGTTATATTTATTGGAGGTCTATTATAACTTACTAAGTGACTCTTTGGTGCCTAAGCACTAGCAGAGCCATCTATGTACAGAGACATTTCACAAAATTATAAAAAATGATCAAAGTATTTTACCATTTTTTTACATTCATTTTCCCTGGCAGCATGTAGTTAAGTGTGCCATCAGTTGATCAAGTTTGTGAACTATTTCCTAGATATAATTTACAAATATCCTAAGACATCTCCATTACGGTTATCTTTATTTGAAGAATTGAAACACAAGACTGTAAAGCTGACTGTATGCCTATTTTTGTATTTTTGATAGTGGGTTACAGTTTGGGGATTATGAATAATCTCCAATTATGTTATATATAAAAATAATAAAAGGATTGATAGATTTCATAATTTCAAAGGTTGCCAGATGAAAAATATATATACAAATTTATGTCCCTTATTATGAATTATGAAAACTTCAACAATTTCATACGATGATAGATAACTACCATGGAGCGTTGGGTTGGCCGTGTTGCTCTGGTGACTGGAGCAAGTGTAGGGATTGGTGCTGCCATTTGCCGAAGCCTTGTTGGTGCCGGCATGAAAGTGGTGGGAGCAGCACGCAATGTGGAGAAGATCCAGGTGAGTATTAAAGCCAGGTAAATGTGCAAAATGTTCTTGTGTAGAAATACGCATGTTCCTGATGAGCACTCAGTGGAAATTTATTTAGAATTGATTCAAAAACTAAGTTCAATGTCCTGAGGTATCTGTAAAAGATGGAATTGTGCAATGATGCATTGATATAGACAAATAAAACCTCTTCCCAACTAGGATTCAAATCTCTGCCACTCCATATATGACCTTAGATCTTACTAGCTCCATAGACATTACCTATCTATTCATACTAGAGTAATGATAGTGAGGGTATTTACACACATTCCCCATAGATACCTCAGTATGTTTGAATTTCTAAATCTCTTACACATACATACACAAACATTTTTTTTCTTCTTCTTCTTTTATAAGTATATATACTGAATATTCATATATATATCTGTGCTATATATATTAATAGGTGAATGAGTTGGTAGTATATTATGAAAATAATTTCCCTAAGATATATGTAACATTTAATTTCTTTATATCCACATCCTAAGGCTCTTTCGAATGAGCTGTCGGGAATGCCAGGAAGTCTGACAGCCGTGAAGTGTGACTTGACCAAAGATTCAGATATCATGAATCTTTTCACCAGCATTAAACAGCAGTTTGGTGGAGTTGATGTCTGTATCAACAATGCTGGGCTTTCACATAGCCATAGTCTTCTTGGTAAGGCCTAATTACGAGTACATTATATGAGTATCATGTTGAATACTAGCTAAAAGTTACAGAAATGTGCAGGTTTGGAATATCTACTTTAGTACAATTTCATTCATATTCATACATTACACTTCAGAATCTGTTCAAACAGATTCTGAGGTGATGAAAAGGAGATGCAGAAATTTTTTTGTGTATACATATATATGTTTAAAAACTTATTAATTTGTGTCTTTCCACAGATGGCACAACTGAGGAATGGCGAGAGATGTTGGACGTGAATGTGGTAGCACTCTGTCTCTGCACACGAGAGGCTGTAGCTTCCATGAAGGAGAGAAAGGTGGATGATGGACAGATCATTCACATTAGCAGGTAAAGTCAGTCTGTATTCTGATTTATTGAGAAGAAAAGTGCAGAATACAAAATTTTATTATAGAAGTAAGATAGCCGCTTTGGAAGCCATTTTTTTCTACAGTTATTTCAAGACCATATTTTTTTGTTGTGTTGTTTAGTATAGAAAAAACATTTGAAGATACTTCTCCGAGGATGTATGTTGTAAAAGCCTTGATTGGAAATTATAAATGGGATTCTATACAGTAATATTTTGCATTTTATGTAGTGAATATAGAGTGTATATTTTTAATTCATAAATCTTCATATAATGTGTATGAATAAAAATATGAAGTATCAGAGAGTTAAGGTGAAGTCAGTAGAATTAAAATCTAACTAAAAGAAAGTTAATGAGTTACAGGGAGAGGTTTTAAAGCAAATGATTGACATTTTACAGTATGTCAGGACACAGAGTAACAGCAACTCCAGGAGTCCACTTCTATACTGCCACAAAATATGCTGTCACTGCTTTGCTGGAAGGTTTGCGAATGGAACTAAGAGCAGCAAATTCCCACATTAGAGTTGCAGTAAGTATTGCTGTTATCATCATCATCATTATTATTATCCCATCAACATAGAACATTGAGTTACATAACTATGTTTTATTATAGTAAGTCTTTGTTGTGCAGCCATATGGTTGAAGTCACAAACTAGGCCCAGTAAAGTGAATTAGGCCTACAGTCAGTAAGGGCGGATTATGCAAGAGCATAATAACTTGGGCCCAGTGGCAGTGTTATATGAATGCAGTACTGTTTGGTAACAACTTCAGCTGCTATTCCTTTCATATGATATCCCAGGGTTTTGCATACTTAACTTATTCTTAACTAAATGCTGCGCCCGTTTTAGATTTTTTTGTAAAATGTCTCTGCACATAGATAGCTCTACTATTGCTTAGCCACAAAGGAGTCAATTAGTAGACCTTGTAACCCTACCTGATAATTACTATAATGTTATCGACAGTAGTAATTATAATATAAGATAACAAAATATTTGTGAAAATCAAGAAAAAAGGTAAACAGGATAGACAGGTAGTGCTCGTAATTAGCTCATTGGTGACTTGGTACTTACAGTATAGTAGAACAGAATGTGATTTAACCCATTATCTCATACCACTGAAAAGAGGTATGAGTAAACTGTGTAGTGAATAATAGATATTTTTTCTTTCTTTTTTGTTAACCTTAAAAACAGGCTGTCAGCCCAGGAATGGTTGAGACAGAATTTGCTCCGAGGATGCAAAAGAGTGAAGCTGCTCGTGAGATATACAAAACCATGGAGTGTTTGCAGCCAGAAGACGTTGCATCTTCAGTGGTACACATATTGTCTGCTCCTCCTCATGTCCAGGTAGGTGTGTTAGTGAGTGCATAAAAGAGAGAGAGAGAGAGAGAGAGTAGTGAGTGAATGAATGAATGTAAGTATGTGTGAATGTGTGAGTGAGTGTGTATGTGAATGTGAGTGAATGAGAGAGAGTGGGTATCTTAGTGAATAAGACACACACACACACACACACACACACACACACACACACACACACACACACACACACACACACACACACACACACACACACACAGAGTTATGACTCATGATATGTGGAGGTGTAGGACCATTGTGACTTAAAGATAATGAAACGCCAATTTGTGAATCCCCTAAGAAGGATAATAAGAAAATAAAATAAAGTAAATGAAATGACAGGTCTATCCTTGCATAGACATGCTTCCTTTTGACTTCATGTCTTGATATGCCAGATTTTGATTCACCTTTTAAAATGACACTTTTGTGATCTAGATTCTTGGGTACTTGTATTGGTGCATTTTTCTTGTACCAGCCATTTACCAGCCAGTTACAAGACGGTATATTTACTAAAACAGATAGACAGATTTAATTTTGAAGGGTTGATATGGACAGTAGTGTCTCTGAAAACCATTTTTTATAGTTTACAACTTCTAAATTATATTATATACTAAAGAACTGTTCAAGCTAAATTTCTCCATTGTATCTTGTAGAATTGTGTATGATAAGATAAGAATTTAACAGGACTTGTTACGCTATCTTAGTGAATCTAACAAGCAGGTTCTCATGATAATAGCCACAATACAAAATAATTTATACATGATCTTATTAATGTAAATAAGAAAAAAAAGCATACTATAAATGACTGTTCAATTTCTTGTTATAGTCTGTCTCTGGGTTATATTATAGATGTTCATGATTCTTTTGAGTTATATATAATTTAAACTTTATCAGGAATTGCCTTACTAAACTGATGTGATTTTTTTTATTTGATATGTTAAGATAATAGTCTGTAATGTAAGCAAGAAATTTATTAGATAATTACATTTAGAATATACTAAATATTTTCTAGTAGAAGGATAATAAGTTAATCCATGTTTTTTTATTTGCAGATTCATGATATCCTGTTACGACCCACAGAGCAAGTTTCATAACCAACCTCTGAATACAAAACAGAGACATGCTCAGGTTTACAAAAAATGAAAACCAGTATTAGGGTGTGTTTAACTACAACTGGACAGTTGTTAGAACTGTTTTGTATTTTGCCAAGAGCAATTTTAGTTTTAGCTATTATACTGTAATAGTGTAATGCTAGTAAATTTATATTAAAAAAAAAA